TATACGGTATACCGCATAGTGCATATATAGTACAATACATGTAATGCAATGTATGCAGTACAATAGATGCTGTACCATCTGTGCTGTACAAGGTATGTATGTAGTACAAGAAATGTAGTACACTGTTTATTGGTTGTATCCGTTCATTGCGATTCGTTTGATGTACAGACGGTTATTACGTCATCAGTGCTTTAATCGGCGCTAATGCATAATTATAAATGTCATTGTCATCACCACCCAATCATCGTCACCATCATCTTCATTATGCTTCCCACTGCCATCATCATAATCACCATCATCACCACCATAATCATCATCATCATCGTCATCACCACCTTCATCGTCCTCTTCCTCCTTCTTATGTTTGCTACACCACACCCCACCACACCACACCCCACCACACCACACCCCACCACACCACATCCCACTCTCAAACATGTCCATCCACATACATTTTGTTTCTCTTTCACTCCAGCCCAGCCAACCATCGCAGCGAAGGTTTTTATTTCCACCAACGTAATTTATTTTTCTTTATTTTTTACCAACCTTATCTGCTGACGCCCCCACTTTTTATGCTGCGCTCTCTCTTTTTCTCTCTCGGTCTTTATTTCTTTCTTTTTTTTCTTTCTTTCTTTCGCTCTTTCTTTCTTTCTTTCATTCTTTCTTATTTCTTTCTTTTTTTCTCTCTCTTTCTTTTTCTCTCTCTTTCTTACTTTTTTTTCTTTTTTCTTTCTCTCTCTCTTTCTTTCTTTCTCTCTCTCTCTCTTTCTTTCTTTCTCTCTTTTTCTGTTTTTTTCTTTTTTTTTTCTTTATTTCTTTCTTTCTTTCTCTCTCTCTTTCTTTCTTTCTTTCTTTCTTTGTCTCTTTCTTCTTTCTTTGTCTCTTACTTTGTCTTTTTCACTCTTTCTTTCTCCCTTTCTTTCTCTCTTTTTCACTTTCTTTCTTTCTTTTTTTGTCTCTTTCTTTTTCTCTTTTTCTCTTTCTTTTTTTCTTTCTTTCTCTTTTTTTTACTCTTTGTTTCTTTGTTTCTCTCTTTGTTTTTTTCTGTCCTGGGCATGACATAAAACTGCATCCACGCTGCCTTGCGTGCTTTTGAGCAAAAGGCTAGGTCCACCGCTCATAACTGGTGGTTGTCGTCAGGATGGGTGTATAGATGTAAAAAGTTTCCCCAAAATTTATTTTATGCCATCACAAAAAACAATTGCCTCTAGTCCCCAGCAGGATTTAAGTGGTCAAGGGGTGCTAAGAATCAATAGGAAGTATACCGAAATCCTGCGTCGTAAATGAAATGGATACAACTGATCGCCTAATTTGGCGCAAAAAATTGATGGCAAGGAAAACAACTTCTTACTTCAGGAGAACTGGGTCTCTGGACGCTAAACGATGATTGATTGATTTCTTTCTTTTTTTCTCACTTTCTTTCTCTCTTTTTTTCGTTCTTTTATTTCTCTCTCTTTTTTCACTTTTTCTTTTTTTTTCTTTTTTTTTCTTACTTTCTTTCTCTCTTTCTTTTTCTCCTTCTTTCTTTCTTTCTTTCTTTCTTTCTTTTTTCTTTCTTTCTTTCTTTGTGTTTTCTTTCACTCTTTCTTTCTTTCTTAGTCTCTTTCTTTGTCTCTTTCTTTCCTTCTTTCTCGCTTTACATCTTTCTTTCCTTCTTTCTCGCTTCCTTTCTTTCTCACCTTCTTCAACATTATGACCAAATAAAAATATTTGTTAATATATATAAAATAAAAATCTTTCATAAGTTACTGAATGGTACAATTCGGTAACAAAATCAGAAACATTAATTAGTATGCAACATGAATGAAGTGTGTTGTTGTGGTGTGTGTCGGCTGTTCCAAACACCACCACCCAAACACACCCCCTGCCAACGTCACCACCAACACCACTTTCACCATTTTTTAACGCCATCTTCATCTTCGCTATCATCATCATCGTCGTCGTCCTCGTCTAGTCATAGTAATCATCATCATCAACATCATCTTCCTCACCATCACTGACGTCATCATCATCATGTCGACAACCAACCACTTCAATATTCTTGCAGCTGAATTGCATTCATGTGTTACGCACGGAACATGAGTTGCTGCATTGTTCATTGCACACCTCAGTAACGCAGTCTTCCACCTCCACCATTGAAACTTGCTCCGCCGAACATGTTTCCACAATTTTTCATTTTTAGCTTTAAAATCTTTTCTTTGTGGTTTTTCACTTATTAAATATTTACCACAACTTATAAATCATCATAGTGGCCTGAAAAATATTTAATTATTGCCGTTTTTAAGGTTAACAAATTTAATTTTAAATAAAATGGAATCCTGCAATAAACATAACAAATGTCTCATACTTTTTTTCTTCAATTTATTACTTCAACGTCCCTTATAATGAATATCTGTCTAATAAATGGAGAGGACCACGACGGTTCAACATGCGACCAGCCCCTCTTAAGATTTATAATGCCTTGTTCTTTTGCTTTTGTGGAAAAGTCGTTCAAGTTAGTCATGTGTCTATCTACCTGCACTCGTGTATGTGTGTGTATGTATGTATGTGTGTGTGTATGTTATTGTTAATCAAAACGTACGACTCTTTTAACTTTATAATTTTTTAACTTTCCTAAACTTTTCCAAATTGCAGTTGAAGAAAGAAAATTTTTTCAATATTCTTCACACGAAACTTTTCATTTCATCAAAAATTAAATTTATCAAATTTCTTCCTACCCCAAAGAGAAAACTTTAAAACTTTTTCTTAGTCGGCTGTTATGATGTTAAACACGAAATTTTTTAATAATTCAATGAGCTTTTTTTAAAATTTGATTTCATTTCTCCTACTTCGTCTTACAATTCGATGGCGCCGTGAGCGTTAACATTTGTTAATTTATTGATAAATGTTTGCTACATTAATGTTTCTCACTTTTATGTATGTTACATTAGCGTTTGTTACATAAACACATGTTACATTAACGTCTGTTACTAACATTTACATCGTTTTTGTCGTTGTTGTTCATTGACATGTTCAAAATGTATGCCCCGCTGGGTTTTATAACAAAATTCAGCTTTTAACTAACCAGTTTTATTTAAAAATTTTGGGTTGTAAATCAGAATAAAGAAAATAGTTCACAAAACAAAAAATGACATGAAACCGTATGCTATTGTTGCATTTTCAAAAATTTGAAATACATTTTTAATCCATAATTTTTGTCCAACATCAACGCTGAATGAACAGAGTTGACGAAGCACACGGTCATCATCCATTCAAACAAACTGCAAAATTTGTAAATAAATTTAAAACGCGGCTAAATCTAACAATGCAGAAGCTAAAAATAACTGTCACTCGTGTTGGCTTAGTTATGGACCCCAAGCAATACAACTCTGTTGTATTACGTGATTCGGCTGTGATTCTGTTACAGACAAGTTTTTAAGAGAGTTAATGCGTGATTCAAACAAAGTTTATAAAATTTTCATTTGCAGTTTGTGGTTAAAAATATTTTATCAAATTATCTTTTTTACTTAACTTTGTCCGATTTTGGCAAATTTTTAGCGTTGGGCTTGACGAATGTGAATCTTAACGGATCCTAGGATTCGAGCTTGATTTCGGTTTAGATTTCTGATTGGGAGATGGACATTTTATTGAGTTTTTAAAAGTTAAATAGAAAAACACAATATAAATGCAGAAAATTCTAAAAAATTAAAATAGACAAAATTCCAATTGTTCTAAGAGAAAAAAGTAGAGAGTAGATAAAAGATAATAAAAAATATAGAAAAGAAAGCAAACGATAAAAGTGTAATGTAGTGATAAAAATGACAAAAAAAAGTGACTGATTGAAAAAAAGACTCAAAATTTTAGAAAAGAAAAGACAGAAAAGTGAGAAATAAAATAGATTCACTTTGAAAAACATGATGTGGAGATGGGAATTGAGAGATAAGAAAAATAAGAAAGTATATGAAATTTCAATAATTGACGCTAGAATTAAAGGAACAAAATTTTGACGAATATTAAACTTCAAAAAACTGTAAAAAACGCTATTCAGAAGTTAAGCATTGATTAGCATGAATCATTGACGGCAATGACTATAGTAAAATTAAAAGATTGCAGCTACATTTGCTTTAAATAATTATTATGGAGTGTGAATACAAAAACGTTTGATGTTTGTTTTCATTTGGTTGATGGTAGAATGTAATGAAGATGATGACGATGAAGATGAAAATTTGGAAAAATGAAGGTAGGAGCAACAGGTTGGATGGTGCGGCTAATAATGCTGACTTGATAATTGACTTCTTGATTTTGAGGAAAGTTTTTGGAAAAAACTAAATAAAAAATCTGATAGATTGAGAATAAGATGGTGAAAAAATAATTCTTTTTCAATAAAAATTATTTCGATGGTTATTATTGTAGCAATGATAATAATAAGAACGCTGGCGGTTATTATTTCAAAGGAGGATATGAAATGTTGATGATAATGCCTGGAAGCGGTTACACTAATGGTGATTGTATTGATGTAAATATTTATATCATGCCAGGTAAGCTTGCTTCTGCTTCATCTCATTATTGGTAGAGACACGACACCTTTCCATTTGTTTTCATTTCTCTCTTTGCAATTTCATCTAGCCAGGGACATTTTTTGACGTCTTGCAACTCCCAGTGTCAACTCAACATTTTTGTTTTGATATTTAGATTGTTTGTTTACGTAATAAAATGCTTTCCTCTTATTGCATTGCTTAGAGGTATGATATGAACAATACACGTAAATCTAGGCATAATTATTTACGATGGTTTTGCGATAAGTGCTTGAACTTAGGGCTGAATTTGAAGACATTTACTGATTCCTTCGAGTGATGTAAAAACGTGGTGACCGCAAAGTTTGACAGACTGAATGAACTAAATCGCGAAATAAAATTCGCAATTGAAACCATCAATTCATCGGTGAATGCAAGTGAAAAAGGTTGAAACATTATAATCACCCTGATGTTCTACGTGGTGAACTAAACAATCTAAAAGCTGAGATGAATATGCCATTCGAGAACATTGTGGGTCGAGAAGTCAAAAAGAGCGTCGAGATCGGTGGCAGTGAGGTTAGAGCCGTTCAAAAAACATCGAACAATGTCAGCGACTTGAAGGTGAGAAAAAACAATCTAATAATGTTTGAATTTGCTGACAAGATTAAAAGTAACAACAAAGAAACAATGATGAAAATCTTAAAAATCTATCAGATGATGTTGTTGAAACAGACACATCGAGGCTGACAAGACCTGGATGAAAGGTGACGCTGTTGCCCAACTGTTGCTTATATGAAAACGTTGAAAGTCACTTTTTGTCATGTCTGGTTGAATCATGATTTGAAGATAGAACAACGAACGGAAGTCAAAACACTGATAAAAGAGGCAAAGTTGAAGGAAAGCTCAGAGAAAGATGTTTTTTATACAGAGTGAAGGGGCCTGTCGAAAGATGGAAAATTTTCAAATTTACTTTGGCTAGAAAATTGATTTAAATTCAAATTCAGATAAAAATGGTGATAAAAATAAAATTGATGCAAAAATTAGTGACTGCTCATCACTCAACGGAAACTCAACCAGTGTATATCTGAATTGATGATAGTTGCCCCGTGGGAGCAGTTGTCGCGTGTCAATATTAATTCGGTACATCTAGAAGGTCACAACATTGAGTTTTGCAGTAATGCCTCCTATCTAGGAATGATCGTTGACTCAAAATTGACGTTTGTTGATCACATCCAACTACTAACTTAAGTGTGTGCTGCTCAACTACATAAAATACGTTCGATTAGAAAATCCTTGAACAAAAGTACGATGGAAGGATTGATGCATGCGTTCATTTAATCTCGGCTGGACTACTGCAACAGTATGTACTATGGTTTGCCCTATAAATCTGTTGGGATGTTACAGTCTATTCAAAATCGTGCAGAAAAATCGATTATGTATCTCTGATTTTTGCTCGGCTTCACTAGTTAACTTTCGACAAGCAAATAATTTTTAAAGTTTGTACAATTTTGTTCAAGTGTATGAATAACTCCGCACTAGAGTATTTGAAGAACAAATGTCAGTTGAAAGCTTTAGCTTGCGTTCCGACAATTTGTGCTATCCGTCGGTCCCGTTTGACTCAAACGAAGTTTGGATCCCGAAACATTGCAGTATTTGGCCTTCGAGTCTGAAACGGTCTTCCCAAAGACCGGTTAGACCTTGTTCTCAGTGCTGACAAATTCAAGGTAATGTTGAAAACACATATATATCGTTGTAATAACAATTAACATCGTTTATTTTTTATTGATTTAATGTTTGATTCATTTGTTTGTTGATGAACAAATGAAAAATTGTCGAAAACAAACTTTGTAATTAGAGCTGTGTAAATAAATAAATAAATAGATAAACAAATAAATAAATAAATATATTTATATAAGAAAACTCGCTTTCTCTTTTCCTCTTTCTTACTTTCTTTGTTTCTCTCTTCTCTTTTTTTCTCTATCTCTTTCTCTTTCTAAGAATGTATTCACATATATTTGGCAATAAAAATGATGTCAATGAAGCATTTTGTTAAAAATTGAATTGATCGATCGCACCATCTGACTGGACAGACCTGCAAACATGGACAAACAGTAAAAATTTGAAAAATAATAAATAAAGTTGAAAATAATAAAAAAATATTACAAAAAGTTGAATATAAAAATTAGGAACGCACAAAGCCTGATAGGAACTGCAATGCAACAATTAATTATAAAAGTGGGGGATGTAATTCATCATTCTTCATTCAATCTGCCTTTCTAAGTTATCTTCGTCGTCGTCTCATCCACCAAAGTTTTCGTCATCATCATTATTGTTTTCGTTATCATTGTATAATTCATTAACATAATTATTAACTTTGCCGCCATCATCATCATCGTCGTCACCATCACCGTTTTCTTCATAACTGTCTTTAGCCCCAACATCATCATCATTTTCATCTTCATCACCATCATCGTCATCATCGTCGTCGTCGTCTTCATCACTGTGCTAGCCAACGTCGTCATTAATTATTTGCCGTAAGGGTGAGTGAAATATGTTTAAAATTTGTGATTATAACTTTGAAAAATTTCTTTCTCGCCGTTTGCAGGCGGCAATTTGTGTCTCCACATGTTGTCCTGCTCACTGGAGGCGTATTTGTCTTCGACTTGCTTGGCGATGAAATATTTTTACGGGTCCTGTTACTCAAGTCAACACTTCTGTTCTTACTAATGTAACTAGTAGAATATTTACCGGTGTCGCTGGCGTGTGGCCGTTCTTCAAGCTGTAAACACTTCTGCTGCTGTTGTTTTTATGTTGTTAGTGTTATTAATATTTAATGTATTGTGGCCGTTGTCGTTGTTCTCATTCAATTGTTGTTCTGTTAGAAAATCATTCAACTTGTTGTTACGATGTCTTAAAACATAAAACGAAATATTCTAGGGCTTAGTACAACATAGCACTTCACTTGTCTGAGGTAATTCACCAGGAAACAAGAGCAAAATAATTGAATGTAATAACAATTTCGAATGACAAGAATGTTTTCTAAGCAAACTTCATAAATGTTTTTAATTTCAATTATTCAATTGGTTTCAATTGGATTACAAAACGATTTTCCTACATTATTTTTTTGATAATTTTTAACAGCTAAAATTTGTATAATTTCTTGATTGAAGTCATTGTGCAAACATCTCTCAATGCAGACAGACTCATTCTTAAAAATGGTCACACTCCACCACACTCAGCCACACCACTTACACTCAACCACACCACTTACACTCTACCACACTCCACCACACCACTCACACTCCACTACACCAAACTCCACCCCCACACTCCACAGTTAAAACACGCCACACTCTCGCTAAATACTCAACAAAGGAAGCGTGTTTTGAAAATTTTTTAAAAATTTCATTATTCGTGGATGAATTTGATTTGTGAAAAATTAAAATTTTACAATTTTACGGTTTTTCAGAAATTTTAAAAATAAATATTCTTCAATGTCGAAATTTTCCGTTGTGCGCTGACGAACAAATACAAGCTGCTTTTATGTTTGTTGTTGATGTTTGTTTGTATGCATCCACTTTCAATCGTTTATTACGTCACTTCGTTGTCCAGAGCATAATTGTTCATATTTAAGTCGAAGTGACGTGACGTGATGAAGAAATGAAAAATAATAATTAGTCAGAAATTATTTGATTATTTCTCTTGCGTTTCTGTTCTTCATTTTAACATTTTTTGCTCTGGCTGAAAGAAAATTTATAACAAATTTGCTCTACGAATGTGTGTCTATGCTTGTATGCAATATATACCTCCTGTAAAATTTAAAAGGATCTATTTTTTATATTTAATATTAATCTTTAATTAACGTTTCGAATAATTTTTTATCTCTCACAAATTTGAGAGGATGATTATTTTTATGAGCTGCCAACCAATCAGCGCGACATCATCGACAAAACTGAACATACATGCATCTAAAACACACACACACACACACACACACACACACACACACACACACACACACACACACACACACACACACACACACACACACACACACACACACACATACCCATACACATACACCGAGGCACACACAAAGGTACACCGACCCAACTCACATATAATACACACATATGTATAGTATTGTATGAATTCTACCGAATTATTGGCATTAACCAATTATCAATTTAAGGTTTGTCTTTTCAATTTTCTTTACTAGAATTTTCAGGAAATTGTTCAATTTATTATCATGAAAATTTTTAAAAACTGTTGTTATCCAAATTCATCATGCTGATAGGCCTTATTTTGATTTTTTACCAATCATCTTCAGTGCAGGTCTGGTATATATAATTTCTCTAAACAAAGCAATGTTGGTTCTTATATATAGTCGGAACTCCGAATTTGATGGTTACAGGAAAAAATTCGTTTTCTAGAAATTCTCTATTGCCTAAAAGATGTATATATGCTATATATTTATGAAAAACAACTTCTTAATCATTTATTTACACATGATATAGTTGTAAAATAAAAAGAATTCGCAGGTACTAGAATAGGGAATAATAAATTTAGCTCTAAGATATTAAAGGTGTACAAAAGTACCGCTAATATCAATTCATAGAATGCTGCCTGTCCATTGTTTTTTTCAACTTTCATTAATTGTATTCGTTATTGAAAAATTATTTACCTTTTGTAGAAACAGTTTGTTATGATAAATTTCAAGGGACATAAAAAAATTCGTTAAATAGATATTTTCGTTGTATAGAAGTTCGCTATAAGGAGGTTCCACTGTATATATATATATACATAATAACTATATATATATATATATATATATATATATAAATATATATATAATATATATTTAGCAGTTCTTAACTGGATGAAACGATGAAAAGTTAACTGCAGTTAGTAAAAACAATAAATGGTTGCAAGACCATTAATAAATTGAATTAATAAAATACTACTTATAACGAAACTGACAATTTTACTACTCTATGAAGTTAAAAACGTTTAAATCGCACTTTGCCAACCGTTGAGAGAAGCGTTAAACATTGGTAAAAGAAGCGCTATATAAATGTTTAATATATATATATATATATATATTATATGCATTTATTGTTTAATTCATATATTTATTTATTTTATGTTTGTGTGATTAGGAGATGTTGGTACGTTCAAATAAAATTATAGTGCCTGTTTTTATTTGCGTTTAAATCTGATTTGAATAAATAAAATCTAGCGATAGAATTAGATCCCACAGTCAATCAAAATTTTTCTGTTGAATTGTAATGTCATGAGTATATTTCAGGTTTTGTGATTTGTCAACCATGTCAAGCAGTACAAAACGTGCATGCAAATTAATAATGAAAGCAATTGTACTCTCTTCGATCCAGTTTCTTTTGGTCAATGTTTAGCTTTTTTTAGGACAAAAAGTAAACTTGAAATAAAAATTGAAAGTATTAATCTGGCATTAAAATAGTTAGGACTGACATGGCATGGCGTGATGTGAAGTTCAATCGTTATTGTATGATTGCATGAGAGGAGGCGGGTGGAGGAACTCGCTGATAATAAAGCTTTGATGATAATAATGACGTTAGTGGTGATGATCAAGAGGAATGAAGATGATGATGAACGCGATGGGTGGTTATGACAGTTGAAAATAAATAATGATGATAAATATGAACAAATAGGGATGATGAATGATGATGATGATGATGAATGATATTGGTTGCGGTTGATGAATGTCTCACAGTTCAAAGATGGTGATTATGTATTCATTACTGTTAGTAACAAGACCTTTCATTCCTTATTCATGGAGTTGATGGCAGCTATTTGTGTTGCTGGTTGGTGCTTAACATATGTGTGTGTTCGTCTTTCTAAACATTTGAACGCCAAGATGTATCCAAAGGCGAAAGATTTCGGCCTAGAGCCCTCAACTAAAACAAATATTTTTATTAGGCTTGAGGTTAAATGTGACATGATCTTTACGTAATGTTTTAAAATGTTGATTTCATATTGTTACAGCTTTTTCACAGAAAGACATCATTTTACCAAACTTGATTAATAAAGACAAGTTTCGATATGATATGAAAATTTTAAAAAATGTGCATTTTGAAAAATAAAAATTGTCCACTTTTTCTAAAACATCCAAGACCACCCCAGAAACAATTTTTGACTACTTCACTGATTAAGCGACTGAATCAATGAACATTAGTATAAAAAAAATAGCAATGTTAATGATTATAAATAAATATTATAATAATAAAACTATGTATAATAATGAACTTCGTAAAAGATATTCCAGGATATGATCGAGTCGTTATTATGCAAGCATGCATTTTGAAATGTGAATGAAATCTATTTATAAGCTACAGAGTTGTTAACAACATTGTTTTATTTTCATCTTTAACTTTTCTGCCGTTATGAGAAATGTCCGGTCGTCATCCAGCATCTTCACATACTTATACAATACACGTACTATGGATGTTTTTCAAATATCACTTAAACAGAATTTGGCGGGACATCATGATCTTCCAATGTTTGAAGTTTGCACCTGCGGTTTCCAGCTGGCACCAGCCAACAATTTGCGTTTAAATTTAAAAATAGAGTAAGAGCTGTTGAATCATTAAAATGCACCGACTAAAGAATAAACTACAGATTTCTTGTTTAACTACAGTTCCAAAACTAATGATTTTTTTATTTTCCATTTAAATTTGAAAAACTAATTAACTCTTTCAATAAATCAAAAATAATAAATTGAGAAGAGCAAACAACAAATTTGACAAAAAAAAATTTCGACAGGTTGATTATGCGATATTATTTTGTTAGGAGCACATCGTGAAGCAAATGAAACGTACGAAACATTGGAAACATGGGAAACATGCAGGTTGTGCTGGTTGTCTTGATGCAGGCAGCATTAAGAGGGAGCAGGTTAATTTTTTTCCAAGTTTTATGACTCTACTGCTTTGCAATTGAATCCAACTGACTCGCTTGCATTTATTAATAAAGCTTTTATGATATTCCTCTGTCAGTTCGTGTCTTTGTATGCCTCATTGCTAGTCTTCCGCCAAACATCTTAAGGTGCCTGGTTTTATATTTATTATTATTGAATCATTAAAATACACCAACTAAAGAATAAACTACAGATTTCTTGTTTAACTACAGTTCCATAACTAATGATTTTTTTATTTTTCATTTATAATTGAAAAACTAATTCAAAAATAGTAAATTGAGAAAAGCAAACAAATTTGACGAAAATCAAATTTCGACAAACGAATTCAAATTTTTTCAAATTGTTTCAACCGTAAACACTTTTCAGTTTAAATCATGATTTGTCGTCACGTTGAAATTTAAATTTAAATTGCACGGTCCTTTGTTCCGGAGGAATGTATGTGTTGAAACAAGACTTGCAACCTGCACGCGTCCAGCAACTCAATGCATCCGCCACTATAATTATTCATCGTTCGCCACTATTTTTTATCACTCTTTTTTATCGATTTGGTTAACTTTTTTAGTTTCCAATATTATTAATTTTCGTTTCAACTTTTTTTCAGCTTGTTGAACTGTTGCAAAGATGATGTTTACTGTAGGTCATTAATTTTTTTATTGTAATTAATTCATATTTGCAACGGTTTAAATAACTTATTTTGAAACATTTTTTGAGTTTTGTTGCGGTAGAACAATTGTTCCCTGTGCATTAGTCCTGATATTCTGCTCAACTTGTTCCTACTCAGCTCTCACAACGTCACATTCTGGCATGTTCAGTAGTTTCTTGTCCGACTCCCTCTGTCAACGTCACTCCATTTCATTGCTTTTATTTTTTATTAGTACTTTTTGTTATTATTTGTTTATTACAAACAATTTCTCAATTGAATATTTGACATTCTGTTCATAGCGTTGGCTTTGAGTCGTTCTAATCACATGTGATTGTTAATTTTTCATTGCAATTAATCAATGTTTGAACGAAGAAGTTATGCGCATTTTGTTTTTAAACTCGCCCATCGTTGTTTTGTGCAACTGCCTTCTTGTGGAAATATTTTAGAATATCGTTTACATTTGGCGAATACTTAAAAGCTATTTGTCATTGGTCGCTATCGAATTTTCAAAACACCAGAATCATTTAAATCTGTAGTTGTAAAAGCCTTAAAAACAATTTATGAAATTTGGCAGAAATAAGTTATCAAATGTATTATAACAGATGTTGTTTACAAGCCAACTCAATTAACATTTTTTGCTGAGTTATCTCGTTCTGGGTGGTCTGGTTTAGAAGAACATCTCCTTTGGAAGCTGTTATCAAGTTGGTCAGAATGCATGCACGTAGGAGGGTTTTGATTGCTGAGGAGAAGAAGCACAAAACGACAATACAAAGTATATGAAGATGTTGGCGGGTGATAGAGATGC